TTTATCGCATAAATATAAATATAAATCTCGCCTGGAATTGGAGTATAATAAAGCTATGACTGCAATTAAGATATTACCTAAATTGGCGTGACCGCAACTGTTATAACTGTTTATCTCAAAAATCGTCATGACTGCAACTAGTATGCAGCCGTTCCCTCGCCTCTCTAGCCAGTCCACCCCTGCATAGAGAGTATTATATAGATTGATTTCAACATTTTTTAATCGTATCATTCATATCGCCTATATCCTAAGTCCTATTAGGCTATAAGCAAAAGTGCAATTTCAATAAAAAAAAGCTATGCATTTTCTCATTTTAGTTTTTTTCTTTGTAAAAATAAGTTTTTGATACATAAACACGAACATTATTTGAAGGTGTTAAATCTGTGTAAAATGTGAAGACAATTGTTGTTGGTTAAATAAGGGCATTATATCTATTTCAAAAGTCAATGTAATGTAGTTGTATTATCATTATGAAAACTCATCGGAAGTCGTTAGAGCTCAGTTAACTATATAGACAATTCGGGAACCAATTCGATAATATTGTGAGCCAACTCGTAGCTGCAGTCAATATTTGTTTAATTGAGCCAAGGTTAAAGGCAGACGGTAAGATATCAAAGTCATCTGCACGTCTGCACAGCTAAATAATAACTATAACGATTCTGCTAGAATCAGGGGCGTACTCAAGGGAGGGGGAGGTTCGTGGGGTTTGAACCTCCCCCATTACCTCACTAGTCTATGTAGTCTTGTGCGTTCGTGCTTATATATAATATAACTATCAAAGTTAGTAGGTTAACAAACAGACAAACAGAAAAGTATTCAACAAACAAGTAAGCTGTATCGGAATCATTTGTACTCTGTACACCATCGAATGTAACACTTGAAAGTACCTATATAGAAAGAGTAAAGCAATTATTTTTAGTATTTTACATGAAAAATACTATAGCCTATATAGGTAGATATTTTTAAGCATTTTAAAATATTGTAAAAGCCAAGTCCAATGGAAAATGTCGACTTAAAATTTAAAGCAGTAGGTGTGTCATTTCTACAAGCTGCCCGCCACAATTTTAACCTATACCCACAATATCCCAAAAGTCTTTTTAGTTTCATTCTACTCCTCCATACGACCATACGTAAGTATAACTTCTATTACCTATTATCTGGTGTTATACAAACAATAGTCAATAGATATCACTGATATCAGGCCATTTTTCAAGGATGTTTTTTWATGTCCAAATAGACACACAGTAAACTCCAATGGACACCCAGTGGAATAAGATTTTGCTATTTGTGTGTCCAAGAGAATAAGTATTATAGTAACCAATAACTATAATATATTTATATAATTATTAGTTTTTAGATTTTTCTTCTTATATAAAATGTTAAGTAAATACCCAGCCCTCCGTCGCTTCAATTTTAAAAGAGAGTAACTAGATAGTAGATAGGTCACTAAGTTAAGGGAAGGGAGTTTTTATACAAGTAAAAATTTATAAGAAAGGAAGAGTGGACACCAGTGATGCAACTAGGATCTATTTTCGGGAAGGGTTATTCATATAAAAAATTGATAATAAAAAGAAAAAAGTCTTCACTTTGAAATATTTGAATTTTAAAAACATTTAGGAGCGTGTTACAACCCCCAAACCCCTCTCCTGATTATTTCGTAACTGGTGGACACACAGTGGATATTCACTAAAAAATGGTCTGATAGATATATCTAAATTCTAAACTTTTCTGCAGTTTTGTTTTCAAAATAATATAACATATTAACATACACATGAAGTCACTAATTAGTAATTTATATATCTTAATTCGTGAACATATTACCACAGAATAAATTAAATTATTATTATTATTTCTATTATTTCATATATTCTGTGATATTACATACAATATAGTTAATACTTTATAAATTATAGACTATCTATACTCTATAGTATTTTAGGTACTCCTACAGGAGTGAGAGTGACAGGACCTACAGTCAGTGGCGCAATTAGACACTTAGGGGCCCTAAAGTCAAATATTAAATGGGGCCCACTAGCAAGAAATGTATATGGTGTTAAGCAATCAAAGGTAGGTATACGATACACCGCTTCTTCCCCACCCATAAGGTAGTCAAAACCTTTCCATCGTTAATTCTATATATTATATTATATAAAAGCAACATGGAAATCTTTGTTACGGATTGGCTCCAAAAATGCATGACCGATTTGGCTGATTCTCTTTTTTGTGGTGTTTGTAATTAATAAATATTAATAGGTGTGAAAGACAATTTTACCACAGGAAAAGTAGAAAATTTGGAAAACAAAAATACAATAGTTGCACCATCTGTCCAACAAATTAAATAATAATAAAATTGTATTAAATAAAAGTTTTACTATCTAATTGCTGATTTATTTATACATACAAACCATTTTTAACTGGCAACGAAATGCATGTGGTCAGCTAGTAATTTCATGAAAATAATTTTTGTAAACTAATTTTTTTTAAATATAATAATTTTATAAAATAGAATCAATATTAATATTTCTAGAGTTTTTTGTAAGAACTCATCATCAAACGCTCTACAAAATATTGAGAAAAAACAATAGTAGAGAATATCAACTTTTGGTGGTAAATATATAGCGTATATAATCTAATACAATTTAGATTTTAGAAGTCGCAAATCGCAATATAAAATATATATATTGAAGTACAAGAATTAAACATAAGCCACGACATTGGAGAAAGTCTAGGTCCAAATCCTGAAAACGAAACAAAAACGATACATTTCTTCAAACAATCTCAAATATTAAAGTTATTATAAGTTAACAACAACAATTTTGACATGTACATACCTAATTATAAGACACAAAATGTCCAAAAATTTACATATTTATTTTACATTGAAATTAACAAATTTTTTTTTTCTTTCTTTAATTATATAAATTAATCCAACGCTAATGGCCCATAGTTGTCGAAACGGAAATTCTTTGTAAATTTCAAGACCAATAAAAAAAAAATATTGAAGTACAGTATATTATTTTTATTCATCTATCATCATTGCCTACAGTTCAATTATAAAGTTTATTAAAAAATACAAATTTTGATCTTTATAAAAGGACTTGAATTCTTTCTAATGATTAATGATAGTCACCTTGATTAATTAACTAATTCTTCTTTATTTTTAGAAGATAAACAATATCACAAAAAAAAAACCTAATTAATTAATATATTTTCCAGTTTTATCAAATAAAAAACAATCAGTTAATTAAGTGGTACATAATTTTGCTATTAATTTTTTAGCATGATATATTAACATATTATGCAACTTAAGTGTTGACTCTTAATAATGTAAATACAATTCAAAACAAAAATAAGATATAAGTACCTTGTAAACATAAAACATTGAAAATATACAAATATTATCATATTTTTGAAAATATGTAAACAAAACAAAATATATTATTATAATTGAAATACATAATTGAATTAATAAATGCAATTAAGTTAAATTTTTTTGATAATTTTATTTTAAAAAGTTGACTTTTCTCAGTTTTCTGGCTTTAGAATTTCGAATGTATTTATTACATCATCCAACTTTATTTTTGTAGCAACACCTCTTTCTATTTATAATAGTTTGTTAAATACATTTAATAGTTAAAACCGCGGCGGCCGACGATTAACTGGTAACTATATACAGTGGCGGCTTGAACTTTTTTTCCCTCGAATCACGTTTAATATTTTTACACCACCCACCCTAAAATATAGTTATTAGTTATTACTTATTATTGTAMATWATCTGCTGAGTACACATATTATATTTATTATTTATAATTTAATATTTAAATACCAACCTGCAAAAATGGTCCAATCTACCTTTTCCAACCATAAGACCTACCCACCCAACCACCMAWTAATATWTTTGTGAATCACGTGATTCAAATATACTCCCTTCGAGCCGCCACTGACTATATAGGTATTCTCCAGTATTAAAATATTAATTAATATTATAGCCACTATCACTATGTCAACTTTCTTAGATATACGAATCATGATTTCACTAAACAATGGTACCTAACTTCCGATTGATGAACGAATAACGAAAATAATAAATATCGAATTGGCCCATCGCCCATGAGCATTATTAATAACTATAAAAAAAAAAAATAATAATAATAATATAATGAGTAATAACAATAACTATAAATAGTAACCGTCCCGATGTCACCACTCGGCCACTTCACCACACATCGGCTATACCTCGTCAATTATAGTTTATWATTGGAGTTGTGAAAACTAATTTATATTTCCAGGAAGAAAATAGTATTTAGATAATTTAGAACACTATTTTTGGCCCCCATTTATTATTTATCCAAGGTAATGATTTTATAATATTATTAAATCATAACTCGTAGTGTATAATCAGTGTCAGCCTGGCATACATCCTTGGGCCCTGTAAACACAAATTGAATTGTACATTTGTACCTAATAACTACGTATGGTAATTATTTTGATAAATACTTTGTAGAATCCTTACTCTCCGTAAAAAACAAGAACACGCCGCCACGCAAATAAAAATGGACAAGACCCTAAAATAAAACAAAAAACGGAAGGGCCCCGGTCGCATTCGCAGACTAACTGCCATGGCCGCCCCGACACGCCGACACTGAGTGTAATATAGGTACGCCATAGCCCACAGTCTATTAACAATAGCCAATAACTATTAAAATAACAGTAAAATAATTATAGTTTAGCCATCTCATTTTAAGCTATACGGTCTATACGGCTATACTTAGATGTTTATAATAAAATATAGGTACCTAATAATAATAATTATTAATTGTGAAAAAAACTAAAAACCAATTTTTTTGTATTTAATAATTTAAATAATTTAAATCAATATTCAATAATAATGTTTTATTTTTAGGGCGTATCTTTTACCATGGAAGCATAGAATAAAGCCGCAATTTGTCCTTCCATGAAAATCTGTCAATAGTTTCGAGATAAGATAAACGCCGAATCGCCCGAAATCCGAATCCGTTTGGTTTAGCGTTTAGTCATTTTTTTATACCTTAAGTTTATAGTCGGATCAAATTTTTTTATAAACAGAAATTTTTCAATAACTTGTACACAATGAAGTATTTTCTAGTCATATCATTATCGATTTTGATATGTTTAGCTCACTGTAAGTTTGAAATTGAAGAAGTGGATGAGTTTGAAGAGTTTGAGGAGTTGCCTAGAACTGAACCTGACCTAAAACTGAAGGACGACTCCTCTCCCATTTTGGAAAAAACTGAGACTGAAGTCACTGTAGAAGTATATTCTAATCATCAATTGATTGAAATAATTACAATTGTTTTCATTGTGTTTTTTTTTTTTTTA